TCTCAACGGCCAAGAGGAAACCTCTTGGCCACTGAGAGGTAAACTCTCAACGGCCAAGAGGAAACCTCTTGGCCACTGAGAGGTAAACTCTCAACGGCCAAGAGGAAACCTCTTGGCCACTGAGAGGTAAACTCTCAACGGCCAAGAGGAAACCTCTTGGCCACTGAGAGGTAAACTCTCAACGGCCAAGAGGTTTCTCAACGGCCAAGAGGATTCTTCTTGGCTTTCAAGAGTGTATACTCTAAACAGGCAGGAGGAACCCTCCTGTCTTTTGAGTTGTATACTCTCAAAATCCGGGAGAAACCATCTTGGCTGTTGAGAGTGTACTTCCAGATTTTGAGAGTATCCACTCTCAACAGCCAAGATGAGTTCTCTTGGCTCCAACTGGGTATTTGCTGCACAAATCAGGGGGTGGATTGGAACCCTAGTTGGGAGTATACACTCTTGGCAGCCAAGAGGAATCCTCTTGACCGCTGAGAGTATACTCCCAGACCATCTCCACTGCAGGCTATCTTTGGTAACTCAATAGCTCCCAAGAGGTGAGTTGCCATTTTTTGGGGTTTTTAGCAACCATGATGGTGTGGATAATTGGTTTAGCAACCCAGGGTGGAGATGCTCTCAGTGGCTGGCAGGGCTTGTAGGTGCTCAATACCATTCCTCCAGAGGATTCTGGGCCCTTGACTGCCAAACCCTCTGGGGGTTTCTTAATTTTTTTATATCAATTTTTTGGGGGCATCAACTCCCATTCCCACTGCAGGAATGGGAGGATAAACTGCCAAACATTGGGGGGACCAGGGATTAGGGGTGGGGACATCCTGAGGACAGTCTGTGGACTGTCCTCAGGACATTCCAGGGGTTTGGGAGTTGACTCCCCAATTTCTGGGAGTCCATTAACTGAGCCCCTTTTCATAATGTGTCACTTTGGCTGGGACCTGTCAGCAAGTCTGAAACCAATAAAACACAATCCAACAACAGGTGATTTATCAGGATTGTAATGTTCATCCAATCTTTGTGACTGCATAAATGTGTATTTTTATTGTATCCATTGATGGATACAATACACCAATCTTGTACCAGTTTACCCAATACCTCATTTTCTCATATTGGGTCTTGTATTGTGTGGTGGTACAATCCCAGCACATGTTTTCAGGGTTTGGGTTGAGATTGTCATATTTCATTTCCAGGCAGTAATCATTTGATAATTAATCAAAAACAGACTAAGCAGAGAGATTGAGTGGTATCATATTTGTTTCACCCTTGCTGTCAGCATACCTGAAATTCAAATTAGCAGGGTTTATGATTGAACTTTGGAGCCATTTTTAAGGTGTTTCTGATCAAATATATATATATATTTTTTTGGGATGTGAAGAAAGTTCAGAAACCACTACATCTGAAAAACTCAAAAAAAATTATAAAATGTTGCACACAAACACCCTAAAAATGGCTCTAAAGTTCAATTGTGAACCCCCCTATTGACAGGTTCTATAAAAAATTAAATATTATTTCAATAAGTATAGGGCCTTAATAAAAAAACCCACATTTTCCGTGTTTTGACGCGCTTTTGCTGCGGCACAGCACACTCGCAATCCGTGTTTAAACGCGCTTTTTTAATTAATTTTTTTTGCCGATATTTTTTTTTTGATTTTTTAAAATTGTTCCTACACTAAAAACGTGTAGAAATTTAATGG